CCCCGCTGTCCCCCCCGATCCCCCCGTCCCCCGCTGACCCCGCTGTCCCCCCAGGACTCGCAGGACTCGTCGGACGGGGCCCCCTCGGCGCCCAGGATGACGGGCAGCCTGGTGTCGGACCGCAGCCACGACGACATCGTCACCAGGATGAAGAACATCGAGTGCATCGAGCTGGGCCGGCACCGCCTCAAGCCCTGGTACTTCTCGCCCTACCCCCAGGAGCTCACGGGGCTCCCGGTGCTCTACCTGTGCGAGTTCTGCCTCAAGTACGGCCACAGCCTGCGCTGCCTGCAGAGGCACCTGGTAAACGGGCGGCTGGGGGGATCTGGGGGGGTTTTGAGGGGATTTGGTGTCTGGGGGGGATTTGGAGGGTCTGGGAGGGATTTTGGGGTGTCTGGGGGGATTTGAAAGGGTTTTGGGGCGTTTGGAGCGAGTGGATGGGAGCACTGAGGGATGAAGGGTGGGGAAGTGGGGGGGAAAGAGAGGATTTGGGGAGGGTCTTGGAGGGTCCTGGAGAAAGAAAAAGGGGGTTGGGGGATTCCTGAGGGATTTGGGGAGCTCCAGGAGGGATTTTGGGGTGGTCCCAGAGGTTTTTGGGGTCCCATCCTGGGGGGGTTTTGGGTGCAGTCCCAGGGGTTTTTGGGGTGGTCCCCGAGGTTTTTGGGGTCCCATCCTGGAGGGTTTTTGGGTGCAGTCCCAGGGGTTTTTGGGGAGCAGTCCCAGGGGCTTTTGGGGTCCCATCCTGGGGGGTTTCCTGCAGGAGAAGGAGTCGACCGAGGATTACAACGTGGCCTGCATCCTGACCCTGCCCCCGTACCAGCGCCGCGGCTACGGCAAGCTGCTCATCGAGTTCAGTCAGTGCCCCCCAAACCCCCCCAAACCCCACCCCAAACCCTGGGCACCCCCAAATCCTACCCCAAACCCTGGGAACCCCCAGACCCCACCCCAAATCCTGGGAATCCCCCATATCCCACCCCAAACTCACCCCAAATCCCTGGGAACCCCCAAATCTTCAGGTGTCCTCACCTGTTCCCCCTGTCCCACCTGTTTCACCTGTCCCTCACCTGTCTCTCACCTGTCCCCACCTATCCCACCTGTCTTACCTGTCTCCCCTCTCTCCCCTGTCCCTCACCTGTCCTCTGTCCCTCACCTGTCCCTCCTGTGTCCCTCACCTGTCCTCTGTCCCTCACCTGTCCTCTGTCCCTCACCTGTCCCTCCTGTGTCCCTCACCTGTCCTCTGTCCCTCACCTGTCCCTCCTGTCCCCTGTCCCCACCTGTCTCTCCTGTGTCCCTCCCTTGTCTCACTTGTCTCTCCTGTGTCCCTGACCTGTCCCCTGTCCCTCACCTGTCGCTCATCTGTCCCTCCCTTGTCTCTCCCCTGTCCCTCACCTGTGTCACCTGCCTCTCCCGTGTCCCTCAAATGTCCCGTCCCTCCCCTGTCCCTCACCTGTCGCTCACCTGTTGCTCACCTGTCCCTCCTGTCACTCACCTGTGGCTCACCTGTCACTCACCTGTCCCGCATCTGTTCCTCCCCCGTCTCACCTGTTCCCTGTGTCCCTCCCCTGTCTCTCCCCTGTCCCTCCTGTCCCTCACCTGTGGCTCCCCTGTGGCTCACCTGTCTCTCCCCTGTCCCTCCTGTCCCTCACCTGTGGCTCACCTGTCTCTCCCCTATCTCTCCTGTCCCTTACCTGTGGCTCCCCTGTGGCTCCCCTGCGGCTCACCTGTCTCTCCTGTCCCTCCTGTCCCTCACCTGTGGCTCCCCTGTGGCTCCCCTGCGGCTCACCTGTCTCTCCCGTGGCTCACCTGCGGCAGGTTACGAGCTCTCCAAGGTGGAGGGCAAGACGGGCACCCCCGAGAAGCCGCTCTCGGACCTGGGGCTGCTCTCGTACCGCAGTTACTGGTCCCAGACCATCCTGGAGATCCTCATGGGGCTCAAGGCCGAGGCCGGCGAGCGGCCCCAGATCACCATCAAGTGAGCCACGCCCCCTTCCCGAGGCCACGCCCACTCATGAGGCCACGCCCTTCTCATAAACCCACCCCCTTGTTGTGAGGCTCCACCCCTTTCTGCTCCACTCCTTCCCAAAGCTCCGCCCATACAGAGCAATACCCAATGTGGGCGGCTCGTTCAGGCCACGCCCCTTCATGAAACCACACCTCCTCATAAAGCCACACCCCTTACTGTGAGGCTCCACCCCTTCACAAAGCTCCACCCACCACAGAGCAATACCCAATTCAGGCAGCTCACCCAGGCCACGCCCCTTCATAAAGCCACACCCCTTTCTCTGAGGCTCCACCCCTTCTCAAAGCTCCACCCACCACCCAGCCATGCCCAGCTCAGGGGGCGTGGCAGCTTCTCCAGGCCCACCCACCTTGCAAAAAACCACACCCCTGAGACCCCACCCCATCTGTCAATCAATGCTGAGCATTGTACAACAGCTAGTCCCGGCCACGCCCCTAAATTTTAACCACGCCCACATATTCGCGGCTCCACCCCCTCATTTTCCCAACCCTGGGTGGGTTTAGGGGGTCTGGGGGTTTGGGGGAGTTTCTGGGGGGATTCTGGGGGTTTTGGGGGTGTCAAGTGGCGAGGGGGCTCTGCACACCTGGGGGGGCTCACACACCTGGGGGGGCTCACACACCTGGGGGGGCTCACACACCTGGGGGGGGCTCTGCACACCTGGGGGGGCCCCGCACACCTGGGGGGGCTCACACACCTGGGGGGACCATGAAATATCTGTGTCCCCCTTTAGACACCTGGGTATCACACATAAATTTGTTCCTCAGCTGTGCACACCTGTATGGGGTCAGTGCACCCTGACACACCTGTGCACACCTGTACACACCTGTCCCACCTGTGCACACCTGTCTCACCTGTCCCTGCAGGGTCAGTACATCCTGACACACCTGTGCACACCTGTGCACACCTCTCTCACCTGTGCAGGGTCAGTACATCCTGACACACCTGTCTCACCTGTGCAGGGTTAGTACATCCTGACACACCTGTGCACACCTGTGCACACCTGTCTCACCTGTGCAGGGTCAGTACATCCTGACATACCTGTCTCACCTGTGCAGGGTTAGTACATCCTGACACACCTGTGCACACCTGTGCACACCTGTCTCACCTGTGCAGGGTTAGTACATCCTGACACACCTGTACACACCTGACACACCTGTGTGTCTCACCTGTGCAGGGTCAGTACATCCTGACACACCTGTGTGTCGCACCTGTGCAGGGTCAGTACATCCTGACACACCTGTCTCACCTGTGTGTCTCACCTGAGCAGGGTCAGTACATCCTGACACACCTGTCTCACCTGTGTGTCTCACCTGAGCAGGGTCAGTACATCCTGACACACCTGTCTCACCTGTGTGTCTCACCTGAGCAGGGTCAGTACATCCTGACACACCTGTCTCACCTGTGTGTCTCACCTGAGCAGGGTCAGTACATCCTGACACACCTGTCTCACCTGTGTGTCTCACCTGAGCAGGGTCAGTACATCCTGACACACCTGTGTGTCGCACCTGTGCAGGGTCAGTACATCCTGACGCTCTCCGAGGACATCGTGGAGGGCCACGAGCGCGCCATGCTCAAGCGGCTGCTGCGCATCGACGCCAAGTGCCTGCACTTCACCCCCAAGGACTGGAGCAAGCGCGGCAAGTGGTGAGGCCACGCCCACCTGGCCACGCCCACCGGACCACGCCCTGCCAGGCTCCACCCTGCGTGGGCCACGCCCTGCTCGGCCACGCCCGCCAGGCTGCGCCCTGGCCACGCCCTACCGGGCTCCACCCCGCAGGGCCGCATCCTGGCCACGCCCTTCCAGGCCACGCCCCCTCGTTACCAGGCGCCGCACATTAAACAACACCTGGCCCCGCCCACACCTGGCGCTGCAAATCCTTTATTGACCATGAAAGGGGCGGGGTGTTATCAGGCCACACCCACTGCAGGAGTGGTTTTGTGCATGGGTGTGGCTTTGTGTGTGGGTGTGGCTTTGAGAGGCCACACCCACAATGAGACTGGCTTTGTTTGTGGGTGGAGCCTCTGAACAGATTTGGTCTTTTAATTAAAGTGGGTGGGGTTTCCGCAGGCTCCACCCACACTGGGAGGGGCTTCAGGCACTCTGGGTTAAATAAGCCCCACCCACTGGGTGTGGTCAGCTGTTAATGAGGTGGGTGTGGCTTTAAAGGCTCTGCCCATTCTGGGTGTGGCTCCACTTGTGGGCGTGGCCTCAGCCATGCTGGGTCTGCTGATGGCACCGGGAGGGGCGTGGCTCTGGTGGGTGTGGCCTGTCATGGCTCCGCCTCCTCATCACTGTCCTCAGTCACGGGGGCGTGGAGCTGGGGGAGGGGCAGGGTGCGCTCAGGGACCCCAAAATGAGACCCCAGACCCCCAAATGAGACCCCAGACCCCCCAAATGTAACCCCAGACCCCCAAAGTTGACCGCAGAGCCCCCCAAATGAGACCCCAGACCCCAAATGAGACCCCAGACTCCAAAATGAGACCCCCAACGTCCAAAGGTTACCCCAGCCCCCCAAATGTGACCCCAGACCCCAAAATGAGACCCCAGACCCCCAAATGTGACCCCCACCAACCCAAAGGTGACCCCGGCCCCCCCAGATGTGACCCCAAACTCCCCCAAATGTGACCCCAGACCCCAAATAAGACCCCAGCCCCCCCAACGCCCCCCCAGACTCACAGCCTGGGCGAGGGGTCCCCACTGCAGGGCCCGGGCCAGGCCCCGGCCGGGGGGAGGGGCGGTGTCACCCCCCCAGTCCGTGATGGCCCCGAAGGTCCCGGTCACCGTCACCCCCCCGGCCTGGGGGGCAAAGGGCAAAGGTCAGGGGGGGCACGGGGCCGGGACCCCCGGGGAGGGGAAAAGGGGGGGCTGGGAGCCCTCCAGGAGGGGAAAAGGGGGGGTTCTCTGCCCCTCTGGGGGTCTCTGCCCCTCTGGGGGTGTCTGCCTCACCTGGGGGTCCCCGGGCTCGCCCAGGGGGGGCTCTCCGGGCTCCCCCCCCCTCAGCACGACCCCCATGTAGCCGGGGGGCAGCGGCAGCTCCCGGCCCCCCAGGCGGCGCCCCCGGAACGAGGCCCAGAGCTCTTGGGGGGGGGGGACAGAGAGGTGGGATGGGACCCCCAAAACCATGCCCAGGACCCCCAAAGCCACCCAGGACCCCCAAAACCGCCGGGGCCGGGCCGGGCCCGCAGGAAGGCGGCCACGGGCGCGGGCCCGTCGTGCTGCACCCGGCAGGGCAGGAGCTGAACCGGGAGCGGCTCCGGGGCGGCCCCGGGAGAGACCCGGAGCCGAACCGCCATTTCTGAAGGGGGCAAATTGGATGCGACGGAAGTGACGTCACAGCGCGCCGGAAGCGGCGTGAGGAGTCCATGTAGGAAATCAAGATGGCTCCGCCCATGGGGGAGGAAAGATGGCGGCAGCGGGCGGAAGTGGGAGGTGCAAGGAATGATGGGAGATGTAGTTCGGGGTCGGGGGGCTGTCTGAGACCCCTCCCCCCTGTGCTGGGACCCCCCCAACTCCCCAAAGACCCCACCAGACGCCCCTCTCACAGAGCCGGACACGGAATTTGCGCTTTTCAAGTTTTTTTTGGGGAAGGGGGTCACAGAACGGGGCTGGGGATGCTATGTCCCGACACGCCCCCCCTCCCCCCGCTATGTCGCGACAGCGGGGGGAGGGACGGCCGCGCCCCCCCCCAGCACCAAGAGGGTCTCGGGACCCCCCCCCAGCGACCCCCAGAGCGCCTCGAAGGCGCGGCGGGCGCGGGGGGGGTCCCAGGACGGGGGGAGGGCGAGGGGGCGGAGCCGGATCCCCAGGGGCAGCTCCAGCGGGGGGAGGGGCGCCAGGAAGGAGCCCCCTCCCCCTTTTTGGGGAGCCCCCCCCGGGCTGAAAACAGCGGCGGCCTCGAGGGAGGGGGGCAGGGCTCGGGGGGGGCTCAGGGTCAGGGTCAGCTCGGCCCCCCCCCCGCGACC